ACGCATCGATGCATTTCCAAGAGGGGGATGCTTAGATATCGATGGGAGGTATTATCATAAACACGTGAGAAACCCGAATTGATTTCCAGATCGCGGCGTTGATTTCCCTCGGAGGGAGAGATAATTAGTCACGGCCCCGTGGATTCTCCCGCATACGCCGTAATTATTTTTATAATCAGCTGTCGTCGCGCTTTCCCGGTAATCTATTCGCATCGAATGCGCATCATCGCGAGCTCGCACAGCTAATTATTGCGGGAAAATGTATAAAAGGACGCGAAGAGAAGGGTCAATGCAAGAGAAGCCTCTCGCAAGAGAGGGCTTCATATGCGCGGGACATATAATCTACATAATTAAAAGGAGGATCTGATAATTGTCGGCAGCACAATTACACGTTGCGCGCGCGATATTAATTTGCACAGCCATTAATTTAGTGACCGGCATCGCAGGAAAATCTATTCCGTGCACGTCGAATGCGAGAGTGGTCGGATCGGTGTGACCCTCGGCAAAAATCCGCTCGATAGCTCGATAATTATTGGTAACAACGTGGGATATGGGTTCGTTAAATCTCGCAGAATGAAATCTCTTTCGAGAATTTCTTTCTGACGATAGTGACTCATTTTATGTGTATGTAAACGTATGTATATATTAGATTAACTACGTGCGTTTACACAAGAGTATCGGACTTTGAGTTGTATCTGCTATGTTAGACTTTCTCACGGAAGATGTTATTAAATAATTTAATCTAGATGTATTAATCATTTCTAATTTGTTCTTTACATAATTCGATAAGCGTGTAAGCAGATATGATTAAATTAAAGATTAGACACATCTGTTATGAAATTTCCGCGAAAAAATATAAACGATTTAACAATGCATCTATTATATAATTTTCAGGATAGTATTATCGAATTTTAATTATTTCTTTAAATAAGATTTAAAAAAACAAGATTTCATCAAAAAACTGTTTTCCACTACACGCGTGCGAGATTTTCTTCATCATTATCACGTATAATATCATTTGATTACATCTATCATTCATAATATATGAATCACACAAATATATATGTATTAATTAAAGAAGAATTAATGAAATGTATGTGCAATAGAAATGTATTAATAAAACAAAGATATCAATACACATGTATAAGAAATAATATAAATAAATCGTAGTTGCACAAAAAATTAGCGTTCTATGTATAAACACGAGGTGACTAATTGTTAAAAATTATGATCGAACTTAGATCTTAATCGCTCGTTAATGGATACTGAGTCGTCAACACTCTACCTAATTGCCATCATTAATTATTAACGGCCACGTTAAATAGCTATTAAACGATTATAAGTGACAATAAAAAAAATTAAACCAACTGGTCACGTTTTCGCGGAGAAAACTCAATTGTGTTTGTATGAAATCGCATAAATTATCGGAATTTTATCTGACAGCGACAATTGTGAATATGTAATTGCGACTCGTAAATACTTTATTCCACGATTTCATGGCTCACAAATGGTGCAATTGAGAAGAACGATAAAATCGTATAAAGCACACGCATAATGGCATCGCTCGGGGCGCCGAAAGTAATTGACTATCATCTGCGAAAAACCAGTCAAGTCATACGTTGTCAAAATCGAATTACATTCACGCATGATTGCGCATTACGTCCATTAACATTATTATATCCATTCATGACCGAAAAAAAATATCGTCCCCATCAGAAGAAAGAGAAGAAAGAGAGAGAATACATATTTACAGATATCATAATGTTTGAAATACGAGTTAATATCATTTTCAAAGCGGTGTTTTAAAAATTGAAAAGCTTTTCTTTTATATAAATTCTATATGTATGCATATATATATCTACTTATATAGGCATCTATTTATCTATAAATATATCAATATGCATCTCAGCTTTTTGTGTTGGATGATAAAATCAATTAAACTCGTCTCAGGAAAATCATCGAATATTATTTTCACGCAAAGAAACCTCCGTAATAGTACAATTTGAAAGTCTTCATTAATATAAACAACGTTTTGTTATAGTTCCTAGACCATTTAATAATACACGCTCAGGCTTTTTACGAACAAATCATTTTCACAGATTGACACGCCGGATTACTTTCTTGTCAATTTAGTCGCGGCACGGGTTCGTCAGTTTTTCTCATCTACTATCTGCAATGTTCGTAAGAACATGCACGAAGCGAATTGAAAGATTAACTCGATAATTCATTATAGTTGTTGGGGAAGCAATGCGGAGAGGAACGAAAAATAAATTATAAAACAAAGTAAATAGATTTGGGAGGACCGATCGGATTAAATTTAAATTTACACTTATTTCGATCTAACCTTCGAAAATTACTATCTTTAGAAAGTGATTTACTTTCATTCCACATCATATGTTTATATACACGACTTCTGGCGGTATCCCGTCGTTTGCCGTCGGTACTTATACTATACAATGGTAATATTGTATTAAATTGTAGCTTGGAATAATTCAAATTTTGAAGGCAAGTTTGTGTGTCTAAATAAAATTTGCATTTGTACTCATTGCAAAATAATACGACATGTACCTATTACTTTATTGCAATTAAAAAATATTATTGTATATGATTGTAAGAATTAAAAAAAATTATTTAGCAGAATATATTAATATTTCAGAGCTAATAAATACAAATAAATTTTATAATATAAATATTTGAAGAATTATTATTTTACAATGAATTATATTATACATATGTACGCGCGTATCATCGTATTGTACGCCTATTTGTACGTTCAAAGTAAACGACAATACGTGGAAACACAACGTGTGACGCGGATACGATACTTTTCCTTTGAAATATCAAGTTCATTGCCACCGTGCGATTATCCAGGTATTAATCTTCATCTGCGAGCACTTACGACGTTATTATTGTGCCGGCTATGAGTATAATCAACGTCGCAAAAAAAAGGAAGAAGTTATTCCAGGTTTTTGTACGTCACAACAGTATTAAAGACGGAATTTACCATATTGAGTAATTGACGTTCGAGATAATATATTTGTTTCATTCTGAAACGAGAGTGTAAAGAGAAAAAAAACTACACGATATTAGGTCGTTAATGATAAATTATACTTCTTTTTGTAACGCATCAAACCGTATTGTCAAATGTAAAGCTAATTTGTCACGCAATTAGCATTGATCCCATAAATAATGTCAAATAGCTGCATCTTGTCTTGCACATACTAGATAATATTGTCTTTTTTTCAATGACGATTTAATGGTTCGAGATGAAGTATTAGCATGCAAACGTCGCTATTTTGTCGCGGACGTAATGTATAAAATGTACGTGAGATGAATAATAGTGCAGTAGATAATATACACAACTGGTCAGACGCGACAATCAGTACTTCTTTCGCAATAAAAGCTCCATTTATATAAAGAGTTTAAAAATACCTAAGTATTTTTAAAAATTATTATTTTAAATTGTATAAGTTTATGCAAATTTACACTTCTAAAATTAATTTTTTAAAAAGCCAATATATTTTTCTTAAAATATAATTTTCTAACGTGAAAAATACGATAAATTATTTATCGTGTGTTATATATTTGTTTTGATATATGTATGAGTTTATGATTCACAAATCATTCTACATTCTGTACAATACGCGTCAATGTTTATACTATGAAAACGAAATTTTAGGGTATGGCCTAAAATTGTTGCGTTTTTGTAATATAATCGATAATCGAGGAAAAAATTTTAGGCGGATTATCGCAAAAGCCTATTTAAATGGTCTTGGTATTCATGTATACGTTCTCCAATAGGCTCGCAAGAATTTTTGTTTACATTCCTAAGGTTCCCGGTAAGAGGCGGCAACATTTCGCCTCGTTTACCCCTCGTCGTATAAATGTCAAAAAGGAGAAATACCGCACCGCTTGTGAGCGTGCGATCAGCAACAATTCGACCGGAAAATAAACGGGATCAAAAGCACCACAGCAACAATAGCCAAACTACTCTTTATCGTATGGGGAAGCATAATGTCGCATACAACAAATACATTTCGAAAAGTGATAACAGATTTACGCATTTCTATCACGTATTTTAAAAGCTTTTATAAAAATATACATTACGATTTTTATTTAATTATCCTATATTTGATAGATTTCAGTTATCATTTGCCACAAATTTTCAATCTTTAACAATAACAATATATATATTATTAATTATAAAAATTTCGAATAAATCACTTTGTGAAAATAACATTATATGTTATTTGTCAAATTTAAGAAAGGATTTATTTTTATGTTTTATCTAATTAACTTTTCTCTATCTATAATTCGCAAAACTTTATTTGTCATTGTAATTAAATATAATATTAATGAAGAAGGTTATCTTTAAATTTTCGTTACAAGAAAATTGATATTAAACATAGAATTGTTATAAAAATTTGAAATACAGTAAAGACAAAGTATAGCTTCTCTATATAAACTTTTACAAATTTCTTTCTAATTTATGAAATTATTCTCTCAAATTTTTTTTCACCTCATCTACGGTTTCAAATTCCCAAATCGCGAATTATTCAATTTTTAATTTTGCATTATCTATATTCGTACGTATATCTGATTTCAAAATTTCGAGCCACGCGAATTAAGTATTAACTCAAAACCTTAGAGACTTAAGATTGCGGGAAATCAAGTTTCGTGTTCTCAACGTATATTTATCATCAAGCGTGCCAGAGATATTCATCTCATGTTGACATTACACGCGATCTTTATATTTAACGAACGAAAATCGGGAGAGTCGAACGACTGCATTTAAACGCGTGATGACAAAAAATTCAAATAATTAAAAATCTCGTACAGACAGATCTCGCTCATAGAAATCTCGCACAATACGAAGATTATATCCAGAATGGGTTACATCCTGGGGATTATATCCTGAATACACACCAATTTTTTTGGTGTATATTTCCTCCGATTCTACAGATATAAGAGAAAATCTCGTATACAGTGTGGCACTTTACCTTGCTCTGGACGTAATCGAGGGCGAGCATGCAGTCGGAGTATCCACTCTCGGTCTTGATGGTGGTGGCACCCTGGCCAGGCCCGGTCGAACAGAATCCCGAACCCACTACGCCGACAGGACCGCCAAGGCCAGCTGCCGCGGCGGCCGCGACGCTGTCCCGGTACCAGGGATACATGAGTTAATCTTGAAGAAGAATACACTATTTTCCGTGAAAGTCTTCTCACAAAACTCTCGTGTCGTCCCGAGTTCCGAACGGAAACACTTTCGAACACGTCACGTTTCTTCTATATATATATATATATATATTTATTTCCCTCTTCCTCCTCCTTTTTTCCCCGACAATGTACGTCCGATGTGCGACGCACCTCGCCGGCGACGATATCACTGCACCGGGAACGAGGCCGCGATGTTAGAGTCGCGATATCTCGCGCTCGCGCACTGAGGATCGACGCGGTTCTCCGTTTCGAGAACGGAGCTATCGAGGGAAGAAATCGCGCGCGGATTGCCGAGGACGATCACATGACGTTCGTGACACACGAACGATATATAGTCTCGAGACACCGCACTCTTTCTCTCTCTTCGATCACGCCGCGAACGGAAGTCGCGTGCCGCGCGTTCCTCGTCGGAGCCGAGATCGTCCTCGTCGGCCGGTCATCGACGTCGCTCGACTCGCTCGCTCGCTGCTGCTCGTCCGAGCGTGAACACGTCCGACACCGCACTGCGTCGTCTTCTTCTCGAGCGTCCCTCGCGCGATATATATATTAAACGTAAACACGGGGCGTCGAGCCGGCTCGACCTTGCGTCAAGATTGTTCCCGTCTCACTCGTCGATTTGGTGTTTACCTTTTTTCGCAGCACAATTTCGCGGAGCGTTCCTCTTCGAGGTCGCCGGCGAAATTCACTCCCCCGGAGATGACTAGATATCGCACGTACGAATTTAATCTTCCCGCGGAATGTGTTTGGGTTTTCGCGAGCCCGCGCGCACGCGGCCGCGTGTCGCGCGTCCGCTCGCACTCTTGTTTCCTGTGCTGTGGAAAGTGACGGCGTGGTGTCTTCTGACGGAGCACGCAGCCTTCCTCCCTCCACACGCAGAAGTGGTAGTTGTTCGCCGAGATTTCGCTCTCTTCGCGGAGCAAAGGATGATCACGCGCCGATCGACGACGACGACGACGACGACATCTCGCTCTCCTTCCGGCGTTTCGATCGATCGATTCTGCTTATATGGCGATCGTCGAGTCGATCATCTCCACCAAGCACCGTTCTTATCCTCGAGATGATCATTCATAATACACTCACTCGCGCGAAGCATAGTCCCCTAACCCTAATTTCGAAATCCGCGGCGCGACTCGAGCGCTCGCGGACCGCGCCATAATTCGCGAGCGATTGATTATTATGCGAGACGGGACGCGAACGCGCGGAAAATGACGCCTCGCCGTCTTCCCTCGCTGGATTTTTTCCTCCCCCTATCCCGCGCTGTCCGTCTCTCTTTCTCTCTCTCTCTCGTTGACGAGCGAATCCTCACTTAGAGAGAATTCGCGGTATAATAATACCGCAACTTTTCTTCGGCTATTTCGTTGGGGAGCGCTCGCGCCAACCCCCCCGTTTTTTATCCCCGCGTGCGGCTGTCCGACCCGGGACGCGTACAAAAAAACACGCAATCGCGGCGGCAAAGCCCGGATATCGTGAACCGTGAACCGCGGACGCGGTTTCAGCACTGACGCGGGAGCCGCGATTCGAACGACCGTTCGGCCGGGCTCGGCCGTCTCCGCCGTCACTCGGGGATTTCCCTCACTGTTCCGCCGTCACTCGCTCGTGCCGCGTTCGCGGGGGAAGAACGCGGCCTGCCGCGCGGAAGGGTGGACAAGTGGGGATGGGATGTTGTATACGCGGCAAGTGTTGACTCTTTCTCTCTCCCTTTTCACGAGCGAGCTGTCTCTTTTTTCCCTCTTTCTTCCCCCTTACGTGCCGGACACCAAAGTGGGAGCAACAGCTTCTCCCAAGCACGACGCTCGAACGATACTAGTCTCATTCGGATAGGAAGAATTCTCCTTCACGGAAACTAAAATTAGCGAAATTTTAGCTGTCCATGTATCACACGTGAAATTTAGCTATCATATGCCTAAATTTGAGCTATGACAGCTAATATTTTTTGTATTACACGTGCAGGCAAAGTGGCACTTTGTGTGCGTGTTTTCTGTGCGGAAAGCGGCCGATTTCCCACGCCGCCATCTAGCGGCGACGCGATGAGTGAATAATAAGCCGCATTCAAAGCCATTGCCTACGGTTGAGCCGCGTTCAAAGTCATTGTCCACGGCTGAAGCCGTAGGCAATGTATTGAACACGGCTATTCCCGCACCGTGCCGCCGCAAGATGGTGGCGTGCGATCGGCCACCTCGCGCACAGAAAACGCGCACAAAGCCACTTTGCCTGCACTTGTAATACAAAATAACTTAGTATGTGTATCACGTGCGGATTGACAATTGTTCACTCGTGTGGGGTGGTCCATCCCCCGCACTCGTGACCAATTGTCAACTTTCCGCACTTGATACACAATATACTATTAGCTATTACATTCTTCGTTAAGCTATGGCTAAAAAATATTAGTTGCCACAGCTAAAAGAGTGATGGCAAACTTCGCCCATTTTTGGGACCTCGAATTTCAAACTTTTTTTTCATGGCAAATACTATTAGGTGAAACATTAATCCCAGTAAAATTTCAAGATAAGCATAGGCACGGTTCCGGAGATACAAGGGGGAAAGAGATGATTTTTAGTCAGTTTTATGAGAAATTATCACTTTCACTTCTATCTAAGGAACCGTGCCTATGCTCATCTTGACATTTCTCTCGGATTAATGTCTCATCGTATAGTACTATTTGGCATAAAAAAAAGTTTGAAATTTGCCATCACTCTTTAGGCATGATAACTAAATTTCAAGTTGTAATATATGGACAGCTAAAATTTAGCTGTGGTATAGCTAATTATTTTTTTCCGTATTCCTATTTCGTAAGTTTCAGAATTTATTTATTGTTAGAGCGATTGAATTTGATTATTTAATAAATGATAAATTGATGTAAAAGAAAATTATATTGTATTCGATGTGACATTTAACATTTAAATTTCAAATCTCATTTGTTCGTTTCTTTTTTTTTAATGGATGATTAATTTTGTAAAATACAATATAAATGTTAATGCAATTCTCTCTTATTGTTATTATCATACCTTGTATTATGAAATTGTAATTAAATTCATGATTGATGACTTCTCACATACACATATTCATGTAATTTTCAGAAGACTTTGCTTAGACCGATTGAATTTGATAATTTAATAAATAAAAAAATTAATTTAATATGTTTAATGTTTTGATATGTAAATTCCAAACACATTCGTTCGTTAGAAAAGAATGAATAATTTCACAAAATACAATCTAAATGCAATTCTCTCTTATTATTATTATCATATCTTGTCTTATAAAATTGTAATATTCATGATTGATTACTTGTCGAACATATTCTTGCAATTTTCGGGAAAAAACTTTGCTTAGACCCATTGAATTTGATGATTTAATAACAAAAAAAAAATAAATAAATTGACACAGAGACAATTATATTATATTTAAAATGTTTTGACATGTCAATTTTAAACACATTCGCTCGTTAAAAAAAAGAGTGATTAATTTCACAAAATACAATCTAAATATAAAAAATGCAATTCTCTCTTAGTGTTATCATCGTATCTTGTATTATGAAATTGTAATATTCATGATTAGTTACTTGTCGAACATATTCTTGCAATTTTTAGGAAAAGACTTTGCTTGGATCTATTGAATTTGATGCTTTAATAAACAAAAAATAAATTAATTAACACATAGAGACGATTATATTATATTTATAATATATTTTAGTGCGTAAACTCTAAACATTTGGTTCGTTTAAAAAAAAAAAGAACGATTAATTTTATAAAATACAATTTAGAGACAATTCTCTCTTATTGTTATTATCGTATCTTGTATTGTAAAGTTATAATTAAATTCATGATTAATGACTTGTCAAACATATTCTAATCGTGAAAAAAATGAGATAAATAACATGTGCATTGAATAATTATGTATGTCATGTCGTTAAGTCAAGATGTTGTAAATGCAATTCATCAGTCGCGGTGTCAATAATTATACGGATCGTTCTTCTTCGCGTATATGCACGCTGTGCAACCGTCAATTTTAGCGGAGAGGAGAAAATAATTGACACGTCCCAAACGACCATTCCCGTAGCGAACCCTCGAATTCGCAAGTACGCAAAAACCTAGCTGAATCACCGCGCGTCGACCTTGACGAGTAAAAATCTCGGATCTCGTGAACACGGAAGGACGAGATTCTGACCTCTCGCGACCTAATTCCACGGCATCGTCCTCAGCGTGGAGAAGCTTGGGAAAGGTCGCGAACGCTGTGAAACATCATGCAAAAACCCGCCCCTGAAATGGTTCACGAATTCCGGGGGAATTTCTTCGGGCAGACACGAAAGGGAAAAAACGGTTCTAGGATAAAAAGTCATCCATCGCGGGAGGGTTCGGTGAACCCACGCGGATACATTTTAACAAGCTGACGTCCTTCTCTCGTCCGTGTCTGCAACTTCGAACGACAGTCGATTTAAGCGTTTTGCATACAAATTGCGACCGCTTATTCGGGACGGACATTAAAAGGAAGATGCGTCAAGGTTAAGGTTTTATTAGAGTCCATTCCTGTCGTCTCGTTATATCTTATTTTAATAATAAGTATATAAAAAGCTACGCGAATTGCGAATCCGGATCAATTTGTATTGGCGAAAGAATGTAATGACTCGCGTGAATTTTATGGATTCTAATGCAATATTTAAATTAGCAGTTTATTGAAATTAAATTCTATTCTAATTCTGAGCCTACTCTTATTGTTACACTTTACCATTGACCTTGAATCGTATGTCCACTCCGCCAAGTTTGGATAAAAAGGGGAGGATGTATGAGAAGCGATGTCGCCAACCCCCGTGGCGTGGACCAATAAAAGGAGCTATAACCACAAATCTTATCGCCGGAGACGAAGAAAGACTAAAATAGGGTTGATGGTCATGGTTAGAGAGGGTCATGGAACTCTCGGTGCTCCACTTTCTTAAATGCGTATTTATTACCAGTAATAATATTATATCTTCATAGGTCAGTGAAACCAAACGCGAATCCGTGAAAGACGATGTCCGCGAACTTCGCTCTTGAGACATTAATAAATTTATAATATATATGTATACATAATTGCTTCATTTTTGTTGCAAAATATATACGCGAGTGTTTAGTTGGCTTAAAGGCGCAAAAGTTAAAAAAATCTTAATATTTCTTTCACATACTAATCGTATGTATCATTATTGTAAGATTGCTGTAATTTTATTTTATGAAATTACAAGAAAAACAAGCGATCTCAAATATACACATTATTAATCACATATCGCATCTTAGATATGAAAATTATATATTTGATTAAGCCTTTTTGAAGAATTGTATGGATTTAAAATAGGGAAAGAAGATAAAAAGAAATAATGTGTATATCGGTATATCATAAAATATCTCAATCTCTTTAATGGCAATACTTATCTGATATAATCAGAAAAATCGAGCGATACTGTGGATTCATTTACTGGCCATTAATAGATACTCTATCCTTCCTTCTTCCCGAAGAAAAGAGCTCAAATATATACATTATTAAGCACATATCGCATCTTAGATATGAAAATTAAATATATATTTGATTAAGCCTTTTTGAAGAATTGTATGGATTTAAAATGGGGAAAGAAGATAAACACGTGTGTATATCGGTATATCACAAAATATATACATTATTAATCACACATCGCATCTTAGATATGAAAATTAAATATATATATTTGATTAAGCCTTTTTGAAGAATTGTATGGATTTAAAATGGGGAAAGAAGATAAACACGTGTGTATATCGGTATATCACAAAATATATACATTATTAATCACACATCGCATCTTAGATATGAAAATTAAATATATATATTTGATTAAGCCTTTTTGAAGAATTGTATGGATTTAAAATGGAGAAAGAAGATAAACACGTGTGTATATCGGTATATCACAAAATATCTCAATCTCTTTAATGGCAATACTTATCTGATATAATCAGAAAAATCGAGCGATGCTGTGGGTTCATTCACTGGCCATTAATAGATACTCTATCCTTCCTTCTTCCCGAAGAAAAGAGCTATGAAAACGCGAGCGACGTTGTCGACCCCCGCGGAGTGGCCCAAAAACAAGCTATAACCACAAATCTTATCGCCGAGGGGAAGGGTGAAGAAGAAGAAGACCTCAAGGGGGGTTGCTGGTTAGGTTAAAGGGGGAGTTCGTTCCACCTTCCGAGCTACCTAACAAGTAGCTTGTAAGAAGAGCCGTTTCGCCCGGTGATTCGTGCTCGTAGAGCTGCTGCCGCTGCCCCGAGGAAAAACTGCGACACGGTTTTTCGGCCAATGGGGTTCTTCCTCGAAGTTCAAGGCCATTCTCAAAGATAGCTATGGCATAGAGGAGAGCAAGGGGAAAGGGGGTAGGAGAGGGGAGCTTTTTTGTTTTCCATGCTCTGGCACTGCTATGAGGGCGACCGACAGACCGACAGACCGACCCCGTTGCTGCCCGGCTTTACGTCTCGCTCTTCACTGGCGCC